AAAAAAAAAAAAAAAAAAACTAGGAAAAATCAAATGTGAAGTGAAGTGAAGTGCAATATTTGGCAACGGGGTTAGAAATTTGAGAAGAAGATCGCCCCCTCTGAGTTTCCCTTCCCTCTCGGCTCCTTCAGGTTCAGATGATGTTTTTCCATCCAATGTCGAGATTTTCAATTGTGCTCGTGTTACATTATGAACACGAGCATATCGCGAGGTGGGTGAAGTTCCTCATCCTTGTCACTGGTCTTAAGGGACGACTAGAGCAGGATCATCGAGGGCAGGCTTGATTCTTCTTGATGTCTGCCCGCCCTCTCCCCTCATTTTCTTTCGATTATAATCTCTGTCGTCCCTCTTCTCCCGTGTCTTTCCTTTTTTTTTTCTTTTTCTTTTATCATATCAATAATGCGGAGGAATGGTGTGCCATTCCATCCTGCTATTCCATACCGGAAGTTATCCCCGCTGGATAGCCCGCAATAAATCGAGACGGGTTGTCGATTTTTTCCCGTTTTTGTTTTTCTTTTTTTGTTCTTTCTCTTTTAACATTGAAATTGTGAATCAGACTAGGGCATGGATTATCTCCACACCACGAGTTCCTTCGCTGTTCCATGCCGGAACTCATCCCCGCTGGTCTCGGAGCAGTCCACTCGATGGCCGCGAAAGTTCCCTCTGATCCTTTTACGGATCAGACATGTTGTTGCCGACGTTGTTGGCTTTCGTCGGCTTCGCATGCAACCACAGTCAAGCTTGATAGGTTGCTGAGGTTGCTGCTGGATTCGGAATAACTCGACAAGGTGGGCCTCCTGGGCGGCACCACCACGGCAGGTGTCGAATTACCCGAGCTCGGAAACTTCCGGAACACCCTCAGCAACGAACTTCCTGTGCTGTGGCATCGGACCAATCGTTCAGGAGCATCTAGCAACGCTGATTGGCTCCGATATGGCGGTGGACTCTCACTGTCGAATACGGTGCGATTTGGTGGCGGGCGTACACACTTCTGATATATCTCGCTCTCCTGCGAAAACACAACATTTTCACCAGTTAGTTTCCATTCGATACGATTGCACGAGGAGGAAGGGGCAACATTCGTGGGAAGAACTTTTGTCACTTGTCTAAAAGGAGAATTGATTGATAAACTTAGTTATATACTTGTTTGAAATTTGTGTTTGGTTCATATTTAGTGTAATGTTCATACAGAACGGACAAACTGTTTTTATCGTTTCGTTGAACTTTGAATCTCGAGCTGTACGTGACGAAATCATCCTAACAAAGATTGATAAACCTGATTGTTACGCGAATTCAGATTCGAACTTTAGGCGATGAGTGATGAAGAATTACCTATTACTCCACTCGCTCTTCTTCGATTAATGCACTGATATTTTTCAATAATCCGCGGCAGCAAGGATTCGCTTTAAACGCTCTTCGATAACAACAATCTTCTCTCTGCCCGTGACCCTGTTATTTATACAAGTTGGCTAGCCAGCGTTAGCCAATCACTTTCGAACACGAGGCGATTAACTGCCTCGACTTATTATACTAATCCATTTATACTAACAGTAAGTGAAACGATCTTCGTCGAGAATTTCTCGAGGACAAGAAATCAAAATAGGCTGACGGATCAGCGATCGAGTAACTCACGGTAAACGTGAGCAAGAAATAGTGAACTCGGTTGGATTAGGACTTCTTGTCAACATGAAGAAACGTGTACACGAGTTTTCGTACACATCCAAGGATAGATCAACAAATTTTCTCCCTTTCCCGGCAAGAGGTTCTCAATCGTTCTCTCGTTTGAAAACAGATTCGCTGGAATCGAATCGCTCGAACATCAGCAGAGTATTTTATCGTGGAAAAAAATTCGGGACAAAAGATTAAACACAATAATTCCTGTTTAAACAGGAATATTTTGAAACAGAAGAACTAAATTATATTCGATGAGAATAATCGAGATTTCTCAAGTGCCTAGCTTTACGTCGTGTCTGTTTCCAGCTAATTTTTTTTTAATTTTCGAGGACGCTGGTGGACACTTAGTAATCAATGTATATCAAAAAGATGTGTCAAAATGAAGAAAAAAGAAGATCCTTTTGTCAAATCTGTGCGACGGTTCGCCGAATATCGAAAATCGATCCCACCCCATTCACGATCTGTCTACATTTCATTCACCGTCTACACGTGCAACAGCACGT